TTCTCTAGATAGGTCTGGTTAGAGATGGGGATAAGATTCTTATGATTCAATTCTAATTGTTATCATGACTAATTTCAAATGTCACAACTATAAAGGTAGAAGTTTTGTAATAAAAACTTACAGTTAATCTTACAGTTCAGAAACAAAGAACCCTAGGACCATCAAGGGTGAAGAGCACAAGCAGAATGCGGAACCTTATCCAGAAAAGCATCGACACCAGAAATGGAGACAGGGAAAGGGGGAGTAACTGAGGACTCACGATTCATGGGAAGAGAGGGTCTAAGAGCTAGTGGCCAGGAGTCAGACTTACAGAATGTGTCCTTTGGTGGTGTAAATTATTATATATGCCTGGGTGTTTCAAAAAAAAAAGAGAAAAGAGCTAAAGTGAATAGAGAGAAATATGGTTAACTGATGGTACATGGAGGGGATTGTAATCATTGTGATGAAACACAATGTCATATGATTTGCTGAATGTAAAACTGAAGATCTGCACTGTAAACTTTCACTCAATGCACAATAAAAACTTAAAAGGGAGGAGGGAAGAGACTGCTTTTGGACAGGCTCTCTCTCTTGCCCTGGGGATCTTGCAACTGGCTCACTGCATCTGAATTCCAATCAGAGAACTTTCTGTCCATCATCTGACTTGATTCACCAGCTCCCACAGCCTCTTGCATCAACATTCTGTGCATCTGACCTGCCAATTTGGGTTCATAAACTCCTGAGATTACGTGCGCAAGAAGATGACTCAAGACTGACTGATCTCTGAACTATGAATTTGGGACTTCCTAGCTTCCACAATTGTGTGAGCAATTTCTTTTGACAATCGTGAGTTCTGTGAGAAGTTGCAGAATGTTGCAGAATCCTAGGACTTGAAAAAGGGACAAATGGTGACTGATATCAAAGATTATGGAGTGGTGCAACATGTCAGAAAAGTTGAACAGTTGCGATATTTTTAACCTCAAATTCATTATAGACCAGCCTGTATGGATTTTTCAAAAAGAATTTATTCATGCAGCTCAAATAAATAACGACTTTATTTCATGAACTACAGATTAAATTATCAATTCTAATAACTTAGAAGAGTAAATTGAAGACCAAGCTAATAAAAATACACCTTCATTTCAATATCTTTACTCTAGATGTCACATCTAAAAATTATGACTTAAAAAGTTAGATTTCTATTTTATTTTAAAGTAATTAAAGTATACATGTATACAGGTATATATATTTATACACATACGTATAACGGGGGGCTTCAAAAGTTCGTAAGAAAGTTATCAATGAATTACATTTTTCCATGAAATTTTTGACACCTTATCATATATATAAGCACATATGTATATAAACATATACCCATATATACAAAACACAAACATACACACACACATATATTTATATGCAAAGTCAGTTTGAACCGCAAGGTCGGTGGTTCAAGCTCACTAGTCGCTTCTTGGAAACCCTATACAAGGTTGCTATGAGTAGAAACCAACTAGACATCACTTAATAACAACAATACACACACACACATATATATGTATGTATGTATGTATATATACATGCTTGGGAGTCCTGGTGTAGCACTGTGGGTTAATGAGCTGGCCTGCAAGTCAGTTTGATCTTCAACGTCAGCAGTTCAAGCTCACCAGTCACTCCTCAGAAATCCTATACATCGTTGCTATGGTTCGGAACTGACTCGATGGCACTTAACAACAACAAAAACAACATGTTCATGCTTACAGTTCACTCTGAATAAAGTCTCTTGAAGCAAAGATTTATTTAAAAAAAGGTTTTAAAAATATCTATATTTAAAATATCTTTTGATCATCAGGTTTCTAAAACCAAGGCATTAAAGACCACATTTTATAAAAGATGAAAAACATAACTACAATTTGGGCAACATAGTTTCTAAATATTTCTCAAACTTCGTAATCTTAAGACTGCTGCTATTAAAGGAACATGACATCTGCCTTCTTTTTAGTTAAGTACTGTCAAGTCAGTTCCGAATCATAGTGACCCTGTATAGGGTTTCCAAGGTCCAGTGCTTGCCTTCCAATGCCACAGACTCATTAAGAAAGCAGTAAACAACATGAAATGTAAGAATCACTTCGATCCTTTCCATCTCTAACCTTTGGAGACAAATTCTTCTTAAGATCTGGTTAAGCATTACAAGATATCTTCAGGTTAAAGTATCCTAAAAGGAATGCAAGCTACTTACCATTAACTTTGGGGCTTCTGATTTATTCAACACAAGCTTGAAATATTCATTTGGACTGAAAATTTTGAGTGGCCCAAGAACAATTTGTAATACTTAGATTTATAAACTTCTCTAAGTTTTTGCACCTGGTATCACTGAAAACTGAGAGAGACTGTACTATAGCACAACAGTTGGGAGTTAATTTAGATTTTACAAAAAGAAAAGTAAAACAGATTAAAAATCAACAATTCTACTGTATCAAATAACAGATTTTAAAAGTGATTTGTACATAAAAAATGCATTCTTTAAAAAATAAATTTAAATTCATTTATTCTTTTTACTTCAAGGATTATATGTGCGATTTGAACAAATAAATATTTGAACAAAACAAGGAAGTGAGAGATACTGCGTTTGGAGAAAAATAGGTACATTAGAGGAAGAATGTTTCAAAGGGGCCAGACAACAATCAACCATATGATGTTTTAGGCACCACTGAGTTGGATCCGACCCATAGCGACCCTGTGTAGGGTTTTCAAGAAGTGACTAGTAAGCTTGAACCGCCAATCTTACAAATCAAACAGACTTTGCAGTCCAGCGCATTAACCCACAGAGCCACACCAGGACTGGTGGTGGTTATGTGCCATGGAGTCGGTTCCGACTCATAGCGACCCTGTACAGGGTTTCTGAGGCTGTAAATCGTTACAGGAGCAGAAAGCCTCATCTTTCTCCTGAGGAACTGCTGATAGTTTCAAACTTTGAGATTAGCAGCCCAATTTGTAACCACTATACTACCAAGCATATGATGTTGTTGTTGTTAAATGCCATTGAGTCGATTCCAACCCACAGCAACCCTGTATAGGGTTTCCAAAGAGTATCTGGTGAGCTTGAACCACCAATGTTCCAGTTCAAACAACCTTGCAGTCTGATAGGCAAGGGTAAAATAATCTCAAAGAGAGCTATAATTTGTTCCTTGTTCTGAGAGGAGAATCAACACATGGGTTTGGAAAAGAGGCTGAAGAATTCTTCTGGTATGTTTCAAATTTCCTTCAATGGGAACATCTCCGTCCCCCTCCACACAACAAACCAACCAAGCAACAAAAAACCCTATTCAAGCTGATTCTGGCTTATGTGGCCCTTGTGTTTCAGAGTAGAATTGTTACATAGGGTTTTCTTACTTGTAATATTTATGAAAGTATGCTAATCAAGTCTTTCTTCTACAGCATCAATGAATGTGAACACTATCTAGCTGCTGAGAGTGGTTCCCAGTTGACAGCCAGTAAGGAAATATGGGACCCACTCCTGCAACTACAAAGAAGTGAATTAAGTAACAACAATGTGAGCTTAATGAGGAAACAAACTCCTGACTAATGCAGTCCAAATGACACCATATTTTTATCCTTTAATGGAACCCTGAGCTGAAAAGTCAACCATAGGTATCTGCATTTCCTACAGAACTGTGATCTAATAACTGGGTGTTGTGCTAAACTGCTATATTTTTGATAGTTTGCTAACAGATATAAAAACTAATACAAACATTAATCAAACTAAGTCATGTAGTTTTATTCAGATGCCCTCAGAGAAGTTCTTAAGTCCTATTTCAAGATCATAGTGGACATACATTAGGAAACAAAGGAAAACCACTATTAGATTAGGTCATGTAAAAAGGAAACAATAAATTTTAATGGTGTAACCAAGAAACAACGGCATAAAAATACAATATATTCTTACCAGAAGACAGATTTTTCTTACGTCAGTATATTAAATAGTGGAATAAGAACATGTTCTACAGTCCATCTTTTTGATACATTTCAAATATACCCTGGCATTGGCCCTATATTCTACAAAGGCTCAGAATTCACTTAGCATCTTATAAAGTACTGCATCAGAAATGGAATGATCTACTAAAATTCAAAGCTTTTGTACCTGCATTTGAATAAAGAGTACTAATTATATATCAAAATGGGCTATGGCACAGCATTCCAAATACAATCAATTGACATTTCTAATCCAATTACTTTGAAAGCAACTGTTAGGTTACATCTTTTACAGTACTAACGAAAACTTGAGTCTCATTAATATCAAACAGCAAAAATTTAACTTATTACTCTGGACAAAAGTGTTGAAAATTTTTAAAGAATACGTCATATGAAACAAACAAGCAAACAAAAAACTGGAAATCTCATTTATGTAGAGAAATAGGTTGAAAGCTTGATGTAACAATAAGGAAAAGGAAATTGACAGTCATAAAATACTTTTATTATTACTAAATCATAAGCAGTAAACACAAGCAAAGTTTTATTTTGTTCTTTTCACAATCTTTAGTTTAAGATAGCTCAGCATCTTCTAAATAAAAAACTGATTAAAAAAAAAAAGCCTGATACAATCAAAGATCCAATTTTGATTTTAAAAATTTCTGAAGTTTCCAAATGTATATTCTGGCTTACCTTGTCTATCCTATCAGGGCGGTTAGTAGCTGCCAAAATGGTCACATCCTTTAGTTGTTCGATCCCATCCATTTCTGTTAAGAGCTGAGCCAAAACACGGTCGGCTACGTTCCCAGCACCTGAAGAACTAATTTATAAAAAATACAGTTTGAGATCTGCAAACCTACCCCAAAGTGCTGTATTTTTACTTTTTGAAAAGGTTATGTTGTTAATAAAAGAAAAATTATTTGTTTTAAAAATTAAAATTAATGTTTTGGAATTCATAAATTACTGGATTATTCTATTTAAGATAAACAGCCCAACCACAAAAAAACTACTCATTTCAAATAATTTCTTCTCTCCCACTATCACTGTTAATCATTATCTCTATAATACTGTAATCTAAATTAGTATAAAATGTAAAACCTCTGGAAAGCAAAATGAAGTTTATTTATCACGACTGTAGCAATAGACTGACAGAGAGCTGTCAGAAGTTTAAGCCAGATTCAGACGAAAACAGATTCAGAATGCTGGTATCTGGTGGATCTTGGTTGAAAGCAAAGAATATAAGAAAGATGTTTTATTGACTGCACAGATGCTTTAGATTGTATGGATCGTGAAAAGTTAAGGACAACTTGGTGGAGAATAAGTATGTCAGAACACTTAATTTGCTTATAAGGAACCTGTACATAGACCAAGAGGCGGTTGTTTGAACAGAACAAGGGAACAGTGAGTAGTTTAAAATTATGAAAAGTGTACACCAGGTTGTATTCTTTCACCATAATTACTCAACTGTAAACCCTGTAGAGGGTCACTATGGGTTGGAACAGACTTGACAGCACTTAACAACAACAACAACAAATGTTGAGCACATAGTTCAAGAAACTGGAATATACGAAGTAGAACATAGCACCCAGGACTGGAGGAAGATTCATTAACAACCTGCCATAGGCAGATGATACAACCTTACTTGCTAAAAGCAAAGAGGACTTTCTGAAATACTTATGGATAAAGAT